GGGGGGGGGGGGAAGCCTCACCAGTTACCCCACTTGATGGCACCGACCCCTTGCCCACAGCTGCAGGGCACAGTGAGGTAGGTTCCTGTGAAATTAAGCGACAATGCCAGGCCAACACATTTTAATTACTGTTTCAGCAACATAATTAAGTTTTGAATTTATACACTCTCCTAACCAGAGAAGTGGGCTGAGCGGAGGAAGTGAACACCCATGTTAATGAACCTACTAATTGAAGCAATATGCGGACGAGAGCTGCCGTTACTCGAACAATACCATCGCCGCCTGTGCCGTCACTTAAAAATATTAATTGCAGTACATGAGGAGGCTCATGCACTCAGGAGGAGTTTTTCCAAACAGGCCGTAAACCGGCAGCCACGCGCCCTGGTGTCGGCATTTCTCCCCACGGAAGCTCTGATGGGTGAAGGCCGGGGAGCCACCACCTCCCTCTCTGAAGGCCCCACAGTGCTGCCCTTCCAGACACAGCCCTGTAGGTGCAACAGGCTCCCTGCGCCCAAAGGTAGGAATTTCAGCCTGAAATTCCCAAAACCTGCCTGAGGACTGCCGGCCTCCGAAGGTCCGGGGGAGAGTCTCACACGGGAACTTCGCCAGCGACGTTCTGAGCTGCTGACCCCGATCGAGGCTGGTCTTCAGCAACGTGACAGAGGGGGACACTTGGGCTGAGAGCCTGTGTCAAAACCTGCGTATGGCCCTGGCCGTGTGGGCCAGTGGTTAGACGTCAGCCCCCGTACCAAAGGGTCCCAGGTTCGATTCCTGGTCCAGGGCACACACCTGGGCTGCAGGTTCAGTTCCCGGCCCCAGTCAGGTCGAGTGCGGGAGGCAGCCAGTCGCTGGGTCTCTCTCATCTGTTTCTCTCCCTCCCTCCTTCCCACTCTCTAAAAGTCACTGGAAAAAACACCCTCGGGCAAGAATGAAAAGGAACCACAATAAACCTTGCCCATGAAAGAGCAGCTTTACATTAAAATGTAAGGGTTCCTTTTGCCTGGCGTTTACAGGGAGACACAAAATGATCATACGGAGGATCTTTAATCGAGGACTCTTGACGGCTGGGAGTGGACGTTGGGCTTCACCGAGGGCAGGAGATCTGCCAGCTTTAAAGGAGGGAGCTCTACCCGAACCTCTGCACCGGCTGGGTTTGTGTAACAACCACAGCGAGACAGCCCCGGGTCTTCTCGATTTCCCTTCTTGCCAGATACTAACTTAAAAATGCTTATATCTAAGACCACAAACATATATCATAAGATATAAGCGGAGATTATATCTGGATTGTTAGTCTATTTAAATTGTGTGTTCATAATAATAGGCATCATTTCTCGGGTTAAATGTTTTTCAAAAAATAATGTGAAAATATGTCAACCGCAAAACCCAAACACCGGCGTGCGCACCTGTGACAAGTCAGAGCAACCGAGACTTTTACGTAGTTCCCTTGAGTTTGCGCCACTGGTTTAGCCTCATAAACCAGTCGGTTCAGCAAGTGATTTTTAAGCATCTCTCTAGCGAGCGCATTAGCCTACACCCAGGGACGCTTCAGTTTTCCTCTTTAAAAGGACTTGAAAGGATACACTTCAGAGCACAAAGTCAAAGCCTCCTGGAGAGAGACGATTACAAGATTAACTGTTTCATCCCTGGGTCCCTGATGGGAATGCTAATCGCAAGGTGGTGGCAGAGCCTCTCGGAGCTTCTCCGCGTGGAGGGACCGAGCTCACGTCTCAGCCACGAAGGTGGGAGGTAGAGGGGGGCTGGGGAACCTGCTCAACCAGGAGTTGCTCCAAAACCTACTTAGGGGCTTCAGGAAGAGCAGCAGGAATGGGGTCCGAGGTGTGGAGAAGGTGACGCCGCTGAGAGTGGACACGGGGAGGTGATGCCGCTGAGAGTGGACGCGGGGACAGGCTCCTGTGCAAGGGGGGGGGCACCCCCTTTGTTTCTCCACCCGGCTGCCTCCAAGTCCGCACCTGTGCAAACACCTCCACTTGCTCTGAGGCCACAGGGGACAGACAGTGACAGGACAGCAAGGTAAACGGAGGAGAGCTTGTCTGTAAACGGTGCTGTCCGTGAGCAGAACTGGGGGGGGGTACTGATGGGGGAGGAGGCTGCTTTCTTAATAGAACCAGAAAGAAGTCAGAAAATGTAGGGATGTGGGTCCCCAAGAGCTGATAGAGAAACAGACAAAATAAGGAGGGGAAACTACGAAATGTTATACTATTTTGACATAATCTGGTGACAAAAATCAGGCAACTTAAAGGCACAGTGGGGGCCAAGTGTAAAGGGGCACCCTCGACCCATGCGTTTGTGAGACCCCTGGGTGCTGCTGACCCGTTTTCTCCCACTAGCTGTGACCCAGGGGTGTGACCATGACAGGGTTTCTCACACGATCAGCATCTCTGCCGCCTCCAGGACAGAGCAGAGCCACGGGGGTGCGGGACTCACCCCTCTGTGCCCTCCGCTGCCTGGGGCCTCCACTGTCCCTGACATCACCCAGCAGCGTGGGGCCCAGGGGGGAGGCGTCCGCAGGAGCCCACGCGAGATTTCCCGTTCACCGTGGGAGGCACACCCCCTTCGGGTCGTCGTTTACTCGCTGGCCATTCTAGGCTCTAGGACTTTCAACTGGGAGCCAATAATGAGAACTGCTCCTCCAGAGGTAAGTGACTTATCACTTAAAGTGCGATATCCAGGTCGGCATCTCTAACCAGCCACAGCATGGCCCCCCTCCTCGGCGCTGTTGACATCTGGGGGCGACTCCGGGTTGCAGGGGCTGCCCCAAGTCTTGCAGGGTGTTTAGCAGCATCCCTGGTCCCTGGACTCTACCCGCTAGGTGCCAGCAGCATCTCTACCCTCAATTACGACAACCAGACAATGTTTCCAGAACGCTGTCCAACGTCTCCCTGGGGGACAAAGTCTCTCCAGGCTGAGAACCAAAGATCTACGGCATGAAACCACCCACGGGAGCAGTACTGTCAACCTAGTCCTTCCTGAGTGAGACGTACGGGAAGAGAGCTTTGGTCGTTATTTAAAGGTAGTTCAGCATTTGGCTGAAATTTGGAAAACAATCTGGGATTTGGGAATGTTACACTTTGCTAGATGTGGAGAAAAACTCGCTTCCTGCTGATGTGCAAACGCCCACCTGGGAGCACACCTCCCGTTAGTGTGACTCTGTCTCCTCCTGAATCTCTAAGACCTTCCCACCTGGGCTATTTTTCTAACCTTTCTTTGTAATTACATCAGGGTAAGAGTTACCTGGCATTAATCAAAACCAGACAGTGAGCAACAACACAGAGCTGGCATGGAGAGCCATTTCTCTTAGAAACTCCTGGAGGAGAAACCAGAATTGATCAGGGAAAAAGTTCACCACATTCTGCTGAAAGATGAAAAAGATTGAAAACGAGTGGGAGACATGGAAAAGCAATTATTTTTTTTTTACATGGCTTATCCAGGGATATCAAATGTTCAAGTCAGCAGAAAGATAAAATAGCTGCTTTAAATTCAGCATCAAAGGTATTTAGAAAATATAATCTATGGAAAGGTGCGGAGGCCCTTTGAAGAACTGTGTAGAGCAGAACAGTTAAATATAGAGTTATCTCAGAAAATAAAGCCTAACCCGAGTCATTGGCAGCAGCGCAAATATTTCAGGCCTCCAGACTCTAGTGTAAGAAATGTTTCCTTTCACAGTTACTTCTAGAATTCTCTTATCTCTCTAATGTTTTTTAAAAATAAAATTTACAAACATTTTAGGGCATTTTTCTTTATTCCCAAGAATGTTACAATCTTGTTTTATTCCAATGTTTCCTGTTTGCTGCACTAACTCCTAGCGAACTCCTTCCTGCTTGGCCGGTGGAATATCCCAAGGCTCAAATACACAGACAGCATTGTGCTTTTCTTCTTGAAACATTTTAGATTTATCAGCCGAGCCAGTGCTTTCCTTGTAACATAATCCCAGGGAAATGGGTCCATAACCATCTTGCCTGAAATACTGATAACATTATATTAATATAAAATTATTTTCTTACAGTCTTTTAAAAGCACCTTCACAAAGAATTAGGAGGTACTTATTTGCGCCTTTATGAGAGAGACCTTGACGTAACAGAACACAGGCAAAACTAAGACACCACTTTAGAGTTCCTCAGCCGCGCCCACCCCTAGAGCCTACAGGTCAACCGAGGCCGACCCAGGTCTTGGTCGGAGTTCAGCGGTTCTCGAACTCACCTCGCAATCACGAAGAGCACACAGCTGACCCCCAAGCAGGCGAGGAGCACGTACATCCAGATGTCGGGGGACAGGGGGTTGAGGAAGGAGAAGACCCCAGGGTTGGTGCCGTTGGGCTTTCGGTAGAGAATGCTGATGCCCAGGGTCATGAAGGGCTTGGAGAAGTCGATGACCGTCTCCCGCACGTAGGTGATGGTGAGAGGGGCCACGGCCAGGTCAGCCCTCTGCAAGAGCAAGTTCAAGGTCATTTCTTAGGGCCTAGCTTCCTGGCAAGTGCCTGGACCTTTCCTGGTTCTTACTCTCAACCCCAGATGTTTCCCACACGGGAAGCTTCTGTGACAACTGGCTCTGCTATGACACAGGCTGATTCACACAGTTGTTGTCATAAAAGTGTATTTTTGTTGTTGTTAATCTTCACCCGAGGATGTTTTTTCCATTGATTTTTAGAGAGTAGAA